TTCATGTATCTACAGCTACAAAACCCACAAAGATGTTTCTGTTTATGTAGCTGAGACTGACCCCGTAAGAGGCAGCATTATGAAGAGGGATAAGGCCTCCTTTGTCCTGTGCGTTGACGTCGGCCCCGTGTTCTAATAGATACTCCGCCACTTCAAGGTTGTTGTAGCCAGCTGAGAGAAGAAGAAAAAAAAGAGTCAGTGCAACTTCCTTCATATGAACACACTTCGAAAAGTCTTTTTTAATACATATTTAATCAGATGAGATTAGTCTCATTGAGCTCCACTCTTTTTACAGCTCGACATGAATGAAATGCAAAAGAAATACTGTGTAAATACAAAACAGGACACATTATGTTCCAAGTTTTTATGTCAAACAGTGTGTGAGTTAGTATTTTTACTCAGTACAAAAGTATACAAACACATCAGAAGAGCTTGTACCTGCGAGGTGAAGCGGTGTGGAGTTGCGCCCCTGTGTGTCTCTGCAGTTGATATTCTCCGGGGAGCAGAGCTTCTGGACCCGGGCCAGGCAGCCCTTCTTGGCAGCATCCAGCAGGGCGGCATCGCCCCTCAGCAGGTCCTGGATGTCCGTGTCCCCATCTTTCACCATGTCCAGCGGCATGTTGCCATCGCGGTTCTTCTTGCTTGGGTCGGCTCCATGCTGAACAGAAAAGTTTAGTTGATCGATTTTATAAAAATATTTCTTGCACATGACACTGAGTGACTTTCCAGCCCAAAGTGATTCATGAAGGTGGGCGCTTACTTTGAGTAGCAGTTTGCAGATTTCATATTTTCCTTTGGCCGCAGCCTCGTGAAGAGGGGTGAACTTCCAAAGGTCGGCCACGTTCACCGAAGCTCCATGTCTGACCAGCAACTCGGCCACTTCATAGTGACCATAGGAGCATGCATTGTGGAGGGGAACAAGACCACTGAAGGAGGAAAACCGGCAGAAAAAATGATCACATTTAAGAGGGAAGAAAATGTGTTTAAAGTACTGATAATTACGGCTTAAAAGGCTTTAAACATGATAACCTTTGATTTCTTTTATGACATTTTTAGTGAACTAAGACTGTAAGATGCTAGTTTAAGAACTCACCCCTTGTCTTTGGCGTGAACGTCAGCTCCATGGTGTAGCAGGTATTCAACGACAGCCACTCGATTGTAACCGGCCGCAAAGTGCAGAGGAGTGGAGTGGCGCCCCTCCAAGTCCCGACAGTTTACATTCTGGGGGGTGCAAAGTTGCTGCCAAACGTACATTTTCTAATTAGCCAAGTTTACAAGACATTACATTTTATATCACTGTTACTAGTGAGCATGTGGAACTGATGTGCTACAAATTTTACAAGTGTACAATAAAGATTTTATCACAGTAATAAGTCTCTGTGAAACTCATGAATGATCAGGCAGAAGAGTCAGTGAACTTACTTGCACTGTATCCAGATCTCCTGCTTTGGCCGCCTCCAGAAACCTGTAGTCCACATCAGAGTTACGTGTGGGAACATTTTCTGGAAAAGAGAAAGAAAGAAAAAAAGCTGTCAAAGAAGGACTCACATACACCATGTGATGATCAAAAAAATTAGAGTGTTTTTTCATTTTCTTGAAAGTTAGAACTGCGGTAATCACCGTTGAGGATCTGTTGCACAGCCTCGTTGCCCATCTGAGCAGCGGTGAAGCCCTGCAGAGACACAATGGAGGGGTCGGCCCCGTAACTCAGCAGCAGCTTGCAGGTCTGGATGTGACCAGCCAGCGCCGCTCTATGAAGAGCTGTCTGACCCAGAGTGTCCACGGCATTGACCTGGAGTCAGAGCGAAAGAGGTTTAAGTTTCACACCAACAACTCTCCCAAAGACCACGTTTTTTCTAAAATGCAAAAGCAAACCTTTGCTCCATGTTTCTGCAGCACCTCAAGGATATCATTGTGAGCTCTCTCGGCAGCGACGTGCAACGGAGTCATGAAGCTAAAAGAAGTCACAGATGAGAACATGTCACCATTATCACTCTTTAGTGCTGAATCAGCAGCTTTTCGTTTTTTTAAATGTTTTACATCACGGTCTCACGTCTTTGTGGCACTTTAATGTGTTTTTGCAATTATGTTGTCACATCTTAGACCACAGAGATTAAGTTGCTTAATTTGGAATAAAATGCTTATTATTATATCAGCTACATTCATTACCTTTAAGATGAACTCCTAGTTTATTTGCTTCTTACTTTTAAAAATACAATCTAAAAACTTTTTGTTGTTAACTTACTCTTTGTTCTTCTCATTGATGTTGGCACCTTTACGCAGCAACAACTCGGTCACCTGCTTTCTCTTAGGGTGGGGTGAAGCCACAGCACAGTGCTGAAATACACATTAACATTATATTAGTGCTGAGATTCATCTTCATTATGCAAAGAACTGCTGGTAGCACAATGAGAGAGAGACAGGCAGGTTAAGAGAAACTACTGGCAAGCTCCATAGACTTGATTCTGACCAGAGCTGTTTCGTTGGTCTGAGGATGTTTGAAGCTGATAATTTCCAGAGCCAGTGTCTTCTTCACTTTGGCCACATCCGCCTCCCTGGCTGCCTGCAGCAATGAGTGACCTTTGAACTCATCTAAAAAGAGATGTGGAAATGACAAATTAGAAACCCAAATCATTAGACCATACCTAAGTACATGAAAGCTAATCTTTGTGGAAAAAAAAATGCCTGCTGATGAAGCCTTTTAGGTGGCTTAGCGAGAACTCACAGGTAAGCCTTTCTTTCAGCTCTGGAGTCGGAGCCATGTCCACAGCACTCTTGCTGTGGCAGTTTAGGAGGGTGGGGTCAGCCCCGTGGCTTAGCAGCAAGGAACAAACCTCCACTCGGTTCTTGGATGCTGCCTCGTGGAGGGGAGTGAACTGCCACAGGTCCATTGCGTTCACACAGGCTCCATGCTGCAGAGAGAAACAGCACAAAATGTGTACAGGAGAAGGAACAAACATTTGTTTCATCACATCAGTATCTGACATTATAGATAATTCCTAGCACTACATTATTTCCTAGTTATAACTCATGACATGATTTTACAAAGCGAAACGAGTTACACTTAACCATTTCAACCAACCCACAGAGTCCTAAAAGCACAAGCTCATCAAATAAGAAATCATGTGTCTTACTTTAAGCAGAAGCTCGGTGACCTCGTAGTGACCGTAGGAGCAGGCGTTGTGAAGAGGAACCAGACCACTGCCGGACAACACACTCTGGTTAGTGTCGTGACTTATACTTAAAAGGACAAAAGAGAGAAGAGAAAAAAAAAAGCCTCACCCTTTGTCCTTGGCGTGAACATCAGCCCCATGCTGAAGGAGGAGCTGGACGATGCGGACCCGGTTGTACCCAGCAGCCAGGTGCAGCGGTGTAGACTGCAAGAGAAAGAAAGCCCGTTAACATCGTTCGTGGGCCGGGTTGGTGCATACTGCCTTTGACGGCCACATGAGCGAGCGGCTGATTAAGGCCAAAAGCATTTGTGCTAGAGCAGGCTATGCTCGGTGAGTTGCAGATGAATGGCGGACATCATGATGCAGAGTCAATGAGTTTGTGGGGGAAATTCAACAACAAAATTCAGTTGCTGTTGTTACTATGTCTGACCTGAACCAACAACAACAAACTTAAACCCAACAAGCAACTAACTCGATTTCCAATTGATGAGATCACAAAAAAATTAATCTTTTAGGTCTTAGTACGTCAAAAATAGGTTTGATGCAGTAAGCTGAGGAGTAGGAGTAGTAAAGTCCAAAAGGCTGCTTGTGAATTATGGTTAGGATACAATATCTGACTTACTTTCCAATTCCAGTTATAAAAATTTTTTAACAAATAAATAAAAAGAGAAAAAAAAAATAGAAACATACAAAAATGCTTCTAATTTTTTTTTAATTCTTAAGAATTTCTATTAATTTTTCAATTACCTGTGTATAAAAACATAATCATTCAATACTAGCTGTTGAGTAAATAAAACTCTATTGAATCCCAACCATAATAGGATGCAGTAAAGCTACAATAAGCAGGCTGAGAAAAAAAAAAAAATCAAATAGCCTAATTTCAGCCAAGAAAAATGAGAATTAGTATAAGCAAAGCTGCAAATCCCATTTCAATTGCATTTGTTCACTGTTCAAAAATCTGGCTCAGGTCAAGCTTACAATGAAAAGAAGGGACATTGTTTCATTTCAATCCATGCAGTGATGTTAATATAAAAATGCAGAAATGTAAGATTATTAAGTCACAGTGAAAAAAAACAACAACTCTGAATAATGAGAGTTGAATCATGGAGGCTTCATTCAGTTTGGGATGACACAAGCAATTTAGAAGCAATCAATATGGAGGGAAGAGCATAGCACTAGAATGGCAGGTTAAGTTTAGACCATTCATTACTGCATACCAACTAATCCAACAGGGACATGTGAAGTATACACAAGTTACAATGACACAAATTCAAGATTCGATTGACAAAAAAAGTGCAGAGGGGCAGGCCTTCAGGCATGCATGAATTATCACCATCATCAAAAACAAAATTAATGAAAAGATAAATCAGACACTGATTTATGTGAAGTGATCGAAAGCTGGAGAAGTGTGGGTGAGTGTGCAGAGGAGAGAGGACAGACGCTGAAGTAGGCAGGCAGTGGGCATTTTGTGCTCCTCTCCAAATCCAAAAAGATGAGTCGTCACCATGACACCAACCCAGTTCAGTCGCTCACTCACATTCACGCACACACAACAGAGGAGCATCAGGGTAGGATAAATGAGTGACCCGTACACCCAGGTCCATGATGTGCAATTAACAAGTGACAGCCAGCTTATTGGTCAAATAAAAACGATGGATTAAAAATAAAAGAATAAAAACAAACAAACAAAAAAAGATCACAACAGTGCATCAATTAAGTGGCCGTTATCAAGGTCAACTTACCAGCATTTTTTGTGATGTTGACTGATCGACAAATGTTGCCAGAGTCACACGGAAAACAAAATGAAACAAAAATTACAAAATGACAGTGTCTTTTCACAGCAATTTCTCTCTCTTTCCCTTAAAGTCAGTGAAACATAAAGCGCAGTAAGACAATAACGTTTGATCTGTCAAAGACGGTGTGAGATTAAATGTGACACGGGGCCAGAGAGGGTAAGCAGCTGGAGGATGCAGTGGAGACTGCTCCTCCTCTTCTTAGGTCTGCTTAAATTCCAGACCACATCTCCAAAGTGGCTTACAGACCTAGATCATGCAAACATCAATTCTACTGCAAAGAGGTAACACTTTAATTTCTGATGAAAAAAAATATGGTTAGAAGTGAATGACATGTGCTGAAAAACTGTTAGCAACAACGAGTTTTCATGGAATAATGAAGGTAGTAGTTATGTTAGTTTTAAGCTGGTTACAGAAATAAACACATTTATTCAGGATAAGAAAGCTAATCATTCAATAATTTGCAAATAATGCATGAGAGACCAACCCCACCCCCCTCCCAAAGAAAAGAAAAAAGAAACGCACACACACAAACAGTAGGACTAAATGCTCCTGTTCATAGGGATGCAATGGAAACAAGATCCCTCACCTAAATCAGCCATGATAAACAGTGTGTAAAGTCTAAAAGAGGAGTGCCAGCTGTGTTTGTACCATTACACATGTAGTTCCCTCAACCACAAAGAGGAAGACAAAAAACAAAACAAACAAAATTAACATGAGGAAACCTGCATGGTGATCTAAACACTGCTTACAGTGTAATCACGTCCCACTAACAAAGACCAAGAACTGAAAATTACACAGAAATAAACTGTGCAGAATACATTAAGTCTAGTTCTTTGATCTGACCAGATGTGCTTCCACAGAAAATAATTTCACAACTGACCCAACATGCTGGAAAAATATAGTTTTGGGGGGTTTTCGTGTAAATTTATGTCTACTTTAGCTTCAAGAGAATGTATACAGAACTAGCCTGATTAGCTGGGTTGAAATAGTGCTTTTTAGTGGTTTCCTTGAAAAAAGCTGGACAATTAAAAGCCGAGTTGAAGAAAACTGATGCTGTTAAAATGAGGATGATTTCACAGCAGCAAATGGATTTTGTGGATGGTCTGATGAGAGTCACGCATGCATGATTAGAGAATAAGAAATGTCTAAAACAGGTATTTCCAAATTAAGGTGGCCCCAACATAAATCCTCTATAGAAACGCCATTCAAACTAATTCAGACTCCTTTACACACATGCTGACTGAATTTAAAAAAACAAAAACACAACGTGCATTTTCCCCCTCAAAATCTGAAGTTTTGGAAACACACTAGTAAACGTGTATGTATGTATTTGGTGTAATGTGCTACTTGTGGCTCATTTACCTTGCGACCATCGCTGGCGTGACAGTTGACATTTAATGGAGTCAGCAGTGCCATCAGTTTTTCTTCATTTCCACTCCTGTAATTAGATGGTTGAAAAGACTCAGATGTCGTTAAATCAAAATAAGTTGATGGAAACTAGCAACTAAGACGAGGTCAATTAAAGTCAGATTAAAAGGATATCACATGGAATCATTTCTCCTCCTTCATATGTTTTAACTCTTAAATGTGCTTACAGAATCACAGGACACACCACCATCGTTTCTATAGCTGCAGTTTACCCAAGAACTTCATGTCATCAACTATTGACACACTCACCTTGCTGCTTCCAAAAGTTCATCCTTCTTGTATTCACCTGGAACAAGAAAAACTCTCAGATTAGAGAAACGTGTGAAACACTTATACATAAATATTGGCATGTGACTTAACTTTACACAGCATTTATTGCTTATGTTTGTTTGGCACATTAACCGTGAGTGACTGACCAGTGAGAACCGCCTTAGCTGAAGGGTCAGCCAGATCCAGAGCAGACTTGCCATCGGTGTTGCGGATGTTAGGATCAGCTCCGTGTTGCAGTAACACTGCAAAAGATAAGATGAAATAAACAAAAACTTGCATTTTAACGTTCCTTTTTTGTGTTACCCAGAATGCTGTGCATATTAATAAAGAGGAAGGCTGGTTAAACGGCATAGATAATAATAGAAGACACAAAGTTGAAAACAGTGTTCAAACTGGCACCACCTCTATATTTTAAAGAGCCCCAGGGGAGAACGCCACCTCGCACAATGAATGCTCAAGCTCATCAGGCGTTTGCACATACACTCAAAAAACTAGAATGACATCAGTCTTGTATTCATCTGGATGAAAATGAGCACTTAGATTAGAGCCTGGCATGCAAAACACTTCACATAAATGTTTGCAGTGGATATAACTTTCCATGGGCAATTACAGTCTCTGTTTGTTTGGCAAGTTAAGTGCTGAGAACGAATCCGGCTGATTTATCAAGCAGAACCTCAGTTATTTCCACACAGGCACATTTTATTTATACAAATAATCCGTATGAGTCAAAGGCTGAGGCTTAGGATGGCTCATAATGCCAGTTCAAACTGTTTCTGTACTCTTGTGATGTCAAACAGAGAAAAAAAATCCTTAATAAGTTTATCTCAGGCCAACCCAGCTGCTTTTCAAATCTTTTGTTTGCAAAGGACAGGCAATCAGAAGAAATCTGTCTTAAAGGGAGAGGAGCTAAAACAACTTCAGAAAGCAGATGAACTGAGAAGCTGCATCAAGGCCCAGTAAAAGATAAAAACGGATTTATTTAACCTCAATTCTGCAATCTATAAAATTAGTGGGATGAAAATTAGCATAATAGGTCCCTTTAAACCATCAATCCAGATATTATTAATAAAGGGTTCAACTGAAAAAAA